TAGGGCTGTCAATTTCAAATTATAAACAAGAAGATCAGATATGCTAAGCACCTAGCAATCCCACTGAAATATTTGTTATAGGTTTTATGCTCTCATAATTCATATCCCACTCACAAATTCTTATCGTTTAATTGGGAAGACAAATAGGAAAATCATAATTATAAGATAGTGTGAAATAAGCCAAGCCACTGACATAAATAGGTACTGCAATGGACTTCCCTTCCTGGAAACTCTTTTTTAAAAAATGAAGAAAAGTCAAATAAAATTTAAAGAACAAGGATAAAATAATAGGCATAAAAAGGGTTTCCAGGAAGAAGGCCAGAAGTGTGAATACATGATATGTAAAATGTGAGGATGTGTTAGAAGCGTTCCCAGCAGTTTCAGATAAAGAAAAGAACCATGTCAGAAAGGGGTAAAAGATGATATTAAAGAGGCAGACGGGGTTCTAATATTGAACAACCTCCTTGCTCTCCCCTGAAAAGTTTCTGGCAGGGGAATGACTGATCTGATTTATGTTCACAGAGATAGATCTGAGCCCCAGAACACAACAGTTGACAAAAGAATTTTGACCAAAATCAAAATGATACATGATGAGCCTGTCATTGAATACACAGGAGAAATAACAGGAATTTAAACTCGGGAAGAAACACAAGGAGAACAGAAATAAGAAAGTGAATACAAAAACTGCTAAGAATGTGTGTCTACTCTACTGGACCCAGTAAGTTATTGGATTTGTTCCATCAGGGGAGAAGTCCTAATTTCTCAGGCCCTAGAATGTAATAAATTTGTCCCTGCTGCATTGTGGGATTACTTTCGATAGTTATCCTTTAATTCCTTCCCTCATCTCCATTTTGGAATGGGGAGGTCCATCCCATGCCAGTACCACCATTACGTTGGGAGGAAATACTTGTCTTCACATTCAAAGCCCTGTGGAAGGAGAGGGACTTTGCCCCAGGATGGACCATATCCAGAGTCTTCCACAGACTTAGACCATGGCAGATGGGGATTTTTGACTTGACACCTAAATAATATTTTGGACTCAAGTTGATGTTGGAATGGGTAAAGAATTTGGGGAATGGTGGGATGAAGTGAATATATTTTGCCCACAGAAAGGACACAAATTTGGGGAGATCTGTTGTGGGTAGAATTCTATCCCCCTTCAAGTCCTGTGAATGTGGAAATAGGGTCTTTAGTTGGAATAGGGTCTTTGTAGAAGTAGGAAGATTAAAATGAAGCATGCTGGATCAGGGTCAACTCTAATCAAATGATTGATGTCTTCATAAGAACAGAGATGGACACAGGGAAGATGAAGTAAAGACACCAGGGAGAACACCATGTGTTGGCAAAAGTGGCAACTGGAGTCACCTACGTACCAGCCAAAGAACACAGGAGAAGCTGAGAGAGGCAGGGAATGGACTCTTTCTTGACACCCAGAAAGGTCTCTGCCCACAACTTAACTTCAGATTTCCAGCTGCCCGAACTGTGAGAGAATAAATTTCTAGTGTTCAAAAACACTTGTTTTGTCTTGACAGCTCTGGGAAACAATATAAATGTCAAATAGTACTGCTACAGAAAGGCCAAGAAAGTTATGGATGGAAAGTGACTGGTTTAATATGCAGACAGCTGGCAGGAAAGTGCATGGAGATTGTTAAACATTCAGTACTTAAAACTGGTATTGTAGGGGCTGGGGATGTAGCTCAGTGGTGCCTTGACTGCCTGGCAAGTGCAAGGTCCTGAGTTCAATTCCCGATATTGGGGCGGGGGGGACTGATACCATGACACGAGGAAGTAGGAATAATGAATTTAGGTATTTTATTAAAGAAGTTCATGTAAGAATGGAGAAAGAGAGACAAAAACAGTAACTAAAGAATGATATGGTTCAGAAAGAGACTTTAATGCAAGTTCTTATGTACATTTCAATACCAAAGAAAATGGGCCAGAAAGACCGAATGTTGAAGAGAGATGACTGAGAGAACGGGTGGCACAGATACACCGGGCTTTTAGAAGAAGACAAACGACCGGCACTGAGAAAAGAAAAATGCTGCAAATGAGGATGTAAACACAGGCGCGTTGTAATTTTTGGCTGATGGGTTTTTATGTTGTAGGCTAAAGTGGAGACAAGATGACTTCCTGAGCCTGGGAAGGAAGAGGGAGAAGGAAGGCATTTGAGGAGTAGATGAAAACCTGGGAAATGGAAACCGACTGTAGGCACACATGGAGAGAGTGTCCGTGGAGAGTAGGAATTTGGAAAGAATAAGTGTGCACAGTGAAGGGGAGATGTGTAGACTGAGTCACTGCTAGCATTCCCCAGGAGCTGATTACAGGGTAGAAATGACTCAAAGTAATTGCAAAGCAACTCTGATGAAATAGCAAGGGAAGAAGTGTAAATCAAGGGTCAAAGTGGAAGACAGTAAGGATCTAAAATTGATAAGGAAAATTATCTCCAAATAATGGGCAAAAATGAACACAGAAAACTAAAAAGTATGAGAAAACTGCCAAGTAGAAGGTGATTGTCAGAGACATAACTCTGGGATTTAGGCAAGCTCTTTGCAGAAATAATTCTACTAGCCAGCAACATTACCTGGAATACTATTCTATTATGCATATTTTGGGGAGGCCTGTTAAAATAAAAATTCAAGTATGAAATACATGACACTAAGTGTCAAGTTGTTAAGAGAGGAAAGAACAATGAATACACATGAGATATTTATCCTCTTATTATAAATTGCCACAAATAACTGCAGCACACTGCTATTATACATTCAGAGCAAAAATAGACCCACATAAAATTCAGTAGAAATATAATTTAAATATTATACTTCATTATAATAGATTCACTTTTTGATCATTAGAAATAAAAAGTAAGCATTCACATATATGATCTTGATTCACATTAGACTTATGCAATATAACCCATTTAGCCTGGTGTTATATGGAGCCTTCCAACCCCTACTCTCCAGGGCTGTCCTAGCAGCTTCACACACGCGCACAAGCGCATACTCATGTGTGCCCCCCCACCAGGTTGTAAAGGCCACAGTACAAGACTGTCAGTTCCTGCCATTTCCTCTACTGTAATCTGCCGTTTGCTCTGTACCTCCTTTCAGTAGTCCAGGACTATGATTTTTGGAGTTCTTATGGTAAAAGGAAAATGTCTATAAAACAGCTGAGTAGGCTCAGGTAAAAGCAGGACTCAGAATCAGAAGCTGCCATGGGCAGATTGTTCACCAAATTCTCTTAATCAGGAAATTCCATCCTTAGCCATTGCCTTGGAACTCATTTTTTAGGGTACACATTTCTGGTGATTCTGCCTTTTACGAAACTTCATCCCCTCCTCACAAAGAAATTAAGAGAAAATGACAGAATCCATCATTCAGAGGGGGCAGCTTCCTCCCATGCAATGAAACATCCTCGTTTTTCTGTTCCTTCCTACTTCTAACTCTGCACCTGCCTTAGCGGTCAAAGTCCCACTAAACTGAAGGTGTTGTGAGGCCTGCGTGCACCACTGGCTGCTTGGTGGCCACATTCTCAGTACCTGTCACAGCCTTGCAAAGAAGTATTTTCAATATACACCTGAGAAATGACAGGCAAGGACCCTACCAAGCCCCGGAGAGAAAAAGGAAGGCGGATATAAGAAGGAAAGCCACCATCGAAGTCCCGTCCTTGCCTTCTTCAGCACCAAAATAAAAAATTTAAAAAAAAAATTCTTTAAACCTCCTTCACTGTATCTGCTTCGAAATCCATCATTTAGGCTTTTTTTTATATCACCTCTACTATTATACAAGCCTCATGAAGACAGAATTGCACTTATGATTCCCTGTATTATAAACAAAGCAATAGGATAAAATTAATGTATTTCTATACAACTAAGCAATTTTACATCTTTAACATTTTTATCAAAACCTGTTTATTACCAAGCCACAGCATAATTCATTTCACAATCTCGAGTGGTGTGTCATACCAAAGAGGTTTTCTTTCTTGAGTCCTCCTGGTGTCATTAGGAAAGGAAGAGGCATGCATTTGTCACTCAAGCAATTTCTAGACTCTGGGTTAGAAAAATTAAACTGCCTTTCAATATAAAATGATTTGACTTAGAATTAGTAACCCAGAAATGTGGCGTCTTTACTGACTTCACCTATAATTTGTCATATTTTCACAGGCTTGTCGGGGAAGAAGCAGGAAATGATAACACTGAATAATGATCGTGTTCCTCATGCACTACTTCGTGCGCGAATAACAGTTGTGCCCAGTTTACTCTGTCCTCCGCCCTGCCTCGCTGCTCACCTGGTAGTGTTCAGATACAATGCACGTTGGCAGCCGGAAAGGCGCTGATATTTACTGAGGTCCTCCTCATGCCTTGTGTGTTTGCAGGTAATGTATTCAAACTCCTAATACCCATAATTACGCTGTAAATCTTATTTTAATTTTTTTTTTCATTTTCAAATACAGTTTCAGACAGTTCGAGCATGGCTGAGAGATTGCTCGCCTTAGGCTTAACCCCATCTCTACACCCCTGGGAGAGACCTATAAAGCAGAGCTTCCTCCTGCAGCACCCTGATAACTCCGCGGGGCGGATCTAGCGCAGGCTCTTTCCTCCAGCTAGACCTCCACAAAGCGCCAGGCTCCCCTGAGAAGTCCTGCTTCTCTCTTCCCGGAAGCTAAGTTTGTCCTCCCTGGCCTCGCGTTCAAACCCTTGACTCCAAGAGGGAACCGCACGGCCAAGTGCGAGCTGCTTCTGGAGACCCAAGAAGCAGGAAAACTTACCCAGGAGCCAGCCCGCTGCCCTGAGGTGGCGCCTGGGGGGAAATCGGGGGGGGGGGGGGCGGACCCGAGCTGCACGTGGGCCGCCCCGCGGGGACCCCGAGCCGGGGAGCAGAGCCGAGCGTGCGGGGGGAGGCGCGGGCGGGGCGGCGCGGCCGGGGCTCGGCACCCCGCGTCACCGGGCGGGGACAGCCGGGCTATAAAGCGTGCCGGGCTCCGGGTCTGCGCTCGCGGCTCGGCGGGACCTGGACTCCCGCGCACGACCGGGGCTTCCCGGGCAGTCGCGTCCCGCCGGGCGGAGCCGGGCTCTGTCCCCACCGAGGGCTCCTGGGACGCGGGCTGCGCCCCCATGGCCGAGCCCGCGGGGAACCTGAGCGCGGCGCCCGACCCCGGGTGGCCGGCCCTGGCCGCGCCGAGGAACCTGTCCGCCTCCCCGGCCCCGAGCTGGGCGCCCCCGCCGCGCGCCGGCCCCGCGCACCCGTTCCTGCAGCCGCCCTGGCGCGTGGCGCTTTGGTCGCTGGCCTACGGCGCCGTGGTGGCCGTGGCCGTGCTCGGGAACCTCGTGGTGATCTGGATCGTGCTGGCGCACAAGCGCATGCGGACCGTCACCAACTCCTTCCTCGTGAACCTCGCCTTCGCCGACGCCGCCATGGCCGCGCTCAACGCGCTCTTCAACTTCATCTACGCGCTGCACGGAGAGTGGTACTTCGGCGCCAACTACTGCCGCTTCCAGAACTTCTTCCCCATCACCGCCGTGTTCGCCAGCATCTACTCCATGACGGCCATCGCGGTGGACAGGTGAGGGAGCGGAGCGGGCGGAGGGGCGCCGGTGCCGGGAGGAAGGGGACGGAGCCGGGGACGGGTCTGCAAAGGGAAGGCCTTGGGGAAGGCGCGGCCGAACCGGCTTTCGCTCCTCTGGTCTCCCCGGCCCCCAGGCCCTAAATCCTTGAACCCCGCTGGGCCGTCGAGGGACTGCGTGGGGCGAGCGCGAGCGCTGTGAGAACCTCGCCTTGCAAGTGGGACGAACTTGGCTAGAAACATTTAGTGCCGGCGCGCGTGCTCAAAAGGCTTGGGATAACGGTGCAAAATCCACGTTCTGTCAAGTGCACTTTTCGGCCTTCCGCTTTCTCTGTCGGCCACTGTTCTGTCAGAGAAATAGAGAAAGAGTCACCTCCACCAACTCTGGACTGCTAGTCCTCACCCTGCCGCCTTCCCCTACTCCCCAACCCGGTTCCTGAGCGGGGCTGGCCTGGCCTTGCAGTCTCGGCGCAGCCCCCTGCGGCAGACTTCTGCGTGCCTCAGGTCCCTGTCTCGGGTCACCTGGGTGAGCCCGGGGTCTGGAAGTGAAGATGGCAATACTAAGCCCAAGGAATGAATAAGTGATTTAAAACAGAGTCGTCACTTTATATCTCTTTAAAACATTTTTTTCAGAGCGCTCCCCAGCTGCAGTAGGAATTCTGAGATGCTTAAGCAATTAAAAGCAGTGGAGAAACCCTCGCTCGTTGGCTCCCATGTTCATCTTTAAAATGCATGCGCACTGGCTTCCCTACCCTGGGCAGTAGTGAGACCCCGTGCGCCTGTGGGGAGGCAGTGTGAGTCCCTGCCTGTTGCTGGTAGCTGGTTCCCTTTTAGGTCAACTTTCCCGCAAAGTGAGCCCGGAGCAGATTCCAGACTGGGAGGGACAGGGCAGGAGGGTGCCGCCAGGTCCCCCACACCCCGCACCGCCTCAGCTTCTTTCTGTGAAAGGGGCTTTCTTCCATTAGCAAAACAATGTGGGAAAATAAAGTCAGGCTAAGTATTAATTATTATTACATCCGCTGCCATTATGAGAAAAATAAGAAGAAAACAAGGTTTGTTTTTCCTGTAAGTTAATTCTCTATGGTTACCATTGGACAACAGTGAGCACAGAAGTGTTAATAGTGATTCTGTGGGAGCGATTTTCACAGCCCGACCCAGAGGATTAAATGGAAGGAGCAGCAGCCAGATTTCTCTGAGATAAATCAACTCCAAGTCACAGTTGTTAAAGCCCTGGAACTGCTGCCTGCCCTTCCCCCTTGCGGCTGATATTCCAGGCAGTCAGCCCTTGCACTGGGCTCCAGTGAAGGTGAAAGGAGATCAGCCTCACTTCAGGAAGTTGCCTGGACTCTCGCTCCTCCAAGATGAAAGTGAATGACACCTTCCTTTTCTCTTGACCTTGCTTTGCCTTTTCTTTTTCCCTTTTGAATTTCCCGAAAGTTCGTGTGTGGCTTTTTTCATGTTGTGACCGGGGGAAAGGCGTTGGGATATGATAAAATGCTCACAATGTCCTTGAAGTGCTAGTGAGGCAAAGAAAATCTGATGGAAATTTTAGTGTGTGTAAAATAGATATTTCAGTTCTGAGAGGAAAAAAGATAAGTTTACTAATTTCTTCCTGTCAACATTTCTGAAATGCTTTTGGTACTAGTTTAACTGATAATGCAATGCTATTTCATTATATTTACTGGTTTGGAATCAGTACATACTTTACTATTTATTCTTTTCTGTTTTTTCAGTAGAAAAAATTAAAACTACACAGAATTTATAGAGCATAAAATTTTCTGTAAAATCTGAAGCACATTGAAAAATCTCCTTTTAAATTATTATTTAGAAGAATACTTTTCAGCAGGAAATTGATAAAGGAAAATACTGAAGAGGAGCTAAACCTTTTCAAGATCATTTTGAGAATCAAACATGACATTTACTAAACCCTCTGTAGTATACCAGTCCAAGGAATCTTTCTACACTGGTATCGTCTTGCACATGGACTGGGGACCGAGTCTGTGGGTTTGTAGTCATTTCATAGGTTAGTTTTCCAGGTTAACCCTTCTGAAATGGCATGTGAGCCATGACGCCTCAGGTAATGCCTCAGTTGGCTAAGAACGCTGTTAACTGCATGTGCTCCTAGAAATATTTTTCTAGACAACTGATACTTTATTGAAATAACCATAAATATTAAATATCCCTGATCACTTCTCATTAATAAAAGAATACCTCATGTAGACTGCAGTGTGCACTCTTTGGTTATTTAGTCTAAGTGTTCTCCATCCACATTTACATACATTGAATTGTATCATCCCAGCCTAAATGCAAATTATATTCAGTTCACCCTGGTTCTCAAAATTAAAACATCCCCTGGGTATGGGAGAAAGAAAAAAGAAAAGTCTTCAGCTCTCACTTGGGCACATGGGCTTTGCTTGAGCTGCAGCAAACTACTTGCAAGCCTCCCACGACTCTTCAAAATGTCATACTTGGACAGGAGTTATTCCCTTAATGCATACTTGTGCCTTAGAAATGGAGAGTCTTAAACTAATGGTCACATCTAACAGGAATAATTATTGAAAAACATACTTAACTGAACTAAGAAGTAGTTTTAGCCAAGTAATTAAAAATGTATCATATATATAACTCTTTTTTCATGATTTCTTTAAAAATCTTCTATTTCATAAAACTGATTCATGCAAATTATTCATAGACCTTCTGGGGGCACTTTGGAAATAGATTGTGTACACATAGCAAAAATACAGGCATGGAGAGTAGTAATGAGGTCTCGATCCTGTAAGAGATTGTCTGCATGCTGTAGGCACTGATGCTCTGGCAAATGTTTTAGAAGTTCCTTATCTCTGTTCTGAACGCCCTGCATCAGCTCACTGATCTGTGGGGAAGTTGCTGCCTAGGCAGGTGTCGCCCCTGACCAGGGTCAAGCTCATCCTTGACTCCTTATTTGGTCCACGTGACAGCCTTGAGAAGGTTCGCCTGAGATCAGTTACTTTCCATCTCGGTCTTATTAGAAAATAGTAATTACAACAATATTTGGGGAAATAGTGATTTCAGGAAACCTATAATAAACCTTTGGGTCCTTTGCAGTTTTCATTCAGGGATTTAAAAGTACCCTGTTTGTATTCACCAAGGTTACTGCTGTAGTGAACTATGACATTTTATTAAAATCATAATGTGAGTTCTTGTACAATTAATCATGAAAGCATGGAATATATATTAGCTCAATGGATGAAGCCAAGTGACCCAGACTCACGAGGTAGCTCTTATGTAGCCAGCAGAACTCCAGTTCACATCGAGGTTACACTAAGGATAGGAAAAAACACATCCAAAAATAATCTGTAGTGTATTTAACAGGCATAGTGTTAAGAAAGAAATCATAATGTATAACATATATTGATGCACTAATAAAAGATAAAGCCCTCATATAAAAGTGACATAAACCAAAGGTTTGCAAAAGAAGAAATAAAAATATCTAACATGCACAAAATTATCAATTGCTTAATCTCAGTATTTCCATTTCCTCATCTGCTTTGTGCTCCATGAGCCACTTCAGTCTGACTTCTCACACTCTGCCTGCAAAGCTCTGGTATCAAAGCCAGTGGGTGCCTCAGAGCCTGGCTGTCTTGCCCTTCTGCAGCTTCCTCTCAGGAGCGTCTGCCCACCAGCCTCTCCTCTTGGCTTCCGACTTTTCTCACTTCCCCCTTCCTTCTTGGCTTCCCTTTCATGTCTGTTGCTGAATTCCACTTGCATGTAATGATTAAATACATAGATTCCTCAAAGTCAAATTCTGGGCTTTTCTTCTTTCTTTATTTTCTGTTCCCAAGCAATCTCATCCAGGTCCATGGCTTCATTTAACCCTTTTGAGTGACGAGATTCTAACTTTTTTTAAAAATCTCAGTGATTTTCTTCCAGGTTATAGGTGACACGTAAGATCTGACATGGTGGGATAAAATATAGGTGAGTGAAAAATTAAGATTGGAACATATATATATATATATATATAAAAGTTGAATCAGATATATACATATTTATGTATAATATAAAATATGTCTAGGATAAAGGTGTAAAATAAACATTCAAGTCAAGTGTCCTAATCACTTGTGAATGTTGAATTTCAAGTTGCTGAGCCTCTTGATAACCATAACAAAGGAAATAAAATTAGCAACATGGTTTACATTGTCCATAAGGGCACCATACATACCTGCTGTTACGGTTAGGGTCTAGATGGCCCCTCAAAGCCTCATGTGGTCAGAATGGCTGAATCTAGTGAGTGTGATGCTGGGGCTAAGTGTGATTACTAAACCAGTCCACAGATTGGTTTGGCACCACCCTAATCCTGGTAGTCTGGATAAGATAAAAGGGCCAGAAAGACGCTATTAAGGTCCCTTGTTACTTTTGCTACCCCGTGGGCATCATGAACTGTTTCTCCTCTGTGATGCCCCTCTGCCATGTGCAACTCTGCCTTGCAGCCAGCCAATTATGACTGAAACCTCTACAAACTGAGCTAAATAAACCGTTCCCCCTTTCCATGTTTGGGTGTGAGGTATTTTGTCTCAGAAAAGAGAGAAAAGTAACTAAGACACCTGCCTTAAGTGCTGAAAAAGTTTTGTCATTGAGTTTCGGGGAAGTCTTGCGTGAGTCATCAAGGGGACAGCTCCTCGACCCTGCTGCCTACACGTCAGGCAGGTCCTGCAGAGCTGTGTTTAGCTTTGCGTGAGCAGCCCAAAGGTGAGGTCCCAGAGCAGAGCTCAGCTCGGTGGACGACGTTCTCAGGGTGAGCACAGCTTCCAGCTGGCCTGCTTTGATGCAAAGATGAAACTGCCACAAGGATAAAGTATATTTTCTCCACAAGTATTTTCCTGACCTGAACTTTGGACAGAGCTTGAGAAGTCGGTAACTCTAGGTCATAATACACAGTAAAAGCTCTGTGAATCCTTTCAGTCCCCAGCCTCTGGTATTGATCCATTCTTATTCCCAGTCTTATTTTTAAATGTATTTTCCTC